ATATCCGGTCTTAAAGGTGAAGGTAACTACTGCTAATGCGAGATACATTTGAACGAATCTTAATAAACATATTTTTATTTTGCGCAACAGCGATATAAAAACAAGAAAATATTGATATAAGAAAAGGTAAATCCACTAAAAATTCAGTTGTTGAGATTCTTATCATTATTTAGAACCTAAAGCAGGAGGATGATGGTAGATTAGATTTCCATATCAAACTTAACCGCCCTTCTTTTACAAAAATCTGATTGCAGTTGGATCGTGTAGTATGCGCCTGGCTTAATACTAGACAGAATATTCATCCTAAAAATGTTTTCACTTTGGAGAATCATTTAACGCATACTGATGGTGCCCCGGAGTCCCAACATTACAAGCCAAATTATGATAAGCAAAAATTATTCCATGGTGATATTTCTAGGGGCTATACATTTCTGAAATTGATAACGAACGGCACGATGCTTAGTAAACCGCTTCAGGCAATAAAACTCTACTTAGAGTGGGTAATTTCCTCGTCGATTTTTGTAAACACATACGATAGACAAGTGTCTTTTTGTTTTTATCCAAGGAAGATACACCCGAGTATATAGTCATGATAGTGGTTCATTTACTCGACTCTTAATCGAGAGTTTTATAACTCCCATACCGGCACTTACGTCCATTGAAATTTAAAGAGAAGGTCGAGTTGTGGTGAAGGTGACAAAAAAGTTTGGGAGCTTCTCTCATTCTTTTTACGTCAGTTTGGAAAAATATCAGAAAGGGAATGTTCCTAGAATGCCTTTATTATCAAATGATTACGATAAAAATAATGGTCACATTAATTTTGTTTGTAGATCTATTTGTTATTTAATTTGGCAGTGCACGTGAGTTTCCAGCATGGTTGAGGATTGAGTCTACTTATTGGCGTTTTGATTATTTCAGAACCTGATTATACACAAAGTCATATGCATTTCCAACTTGCTTCTAACATGACCGGAACTCAACTATATATTTAATCATGGTAATGACAATGATGGAGGTACTGATAGATATTGCAGTGGAAGTGGTAACAACTATCGAAGTGTTGCTACAAGCGGTGGTGACGATTCATGATACTTCACAATTAAGAAAACATGTATATTCTTGTAACAAAGCAACCACGCAGGTGATACCTACAGTTTTATGACATACCTTTATAGTAATTGGGGATCAATAGCGTTTTTGTAAATTTATTTGAATCACATATTTACACAAACATATTATTTTAAAGTAACACATAAAATACGTGTACAATGAATTATGATAATAGTACATGTACGAAAGACATCAAATATATAAAAAGCTGTTCTTCCACAGGGCTCTGTTAACATGAATAATTATTTAAAGAAACGAAAATGACGTACAAAACTTGTATTATAGTCAAATTATAAGAATGATATAAATTGGGTGATTCTAAAGGAGACTGAAATCTTATTTGAAGATTGTTACAAACGGTGTGATCTAAAGATTGGGAGTTAGCAAAAGACATACCTTGGTATCGAACCCTGGACCTCCCATTTACGATAACATTGCTTTACCACTGAGCCAACATGCTTATTATCACTGATTTCGTCCTCGTGGTTATATTGTCATCGGTGCATTGCGTCTACACCTCATAGATTCTCGTTGACGGCTCTCTAGAGGCACTGTGTAATCGTACTTAGATGTCTTTCGTGCTCGAACGCATCGATGGGTATTTGAGAAGGTTGTCGTGTCACAATCCGCTAAAAAAAAAATTAAAAAAAAATCTTATTTTAATCCTTCTTCCTCGTAATATCTTAGATAACCAGAGAGACAGACTTACGCAGATTAAGCGTCACGACTCCGTATCAATATACCCCTACCACTTGAAGATATTGCAGGAAAGCTCTTTCTCGTGGTCCCCTTGGAGCGATAAAGGAGACACGCATAGGTCCCAAAGGGAAGCCCTTCTTGACAACCTCGTATAATTCTTCACTGGATAAAACCTAGAGAGACTTAACTTTGATTCTATCCAAAGCCCGCTATTGGCGGCTATAGGAAGCTAGTCTGCTTAGCCAGACTATTTGTCCCGTCTTCTAAAAAAGAATGACGAGTTCGATTAATCCAGTCCATTTAAATTAAGTATGGAACGCATTGGAGTGTCGAAAGTTTTGTTCTATTGTTTGAAGAATTCAAAATTTATAAGGATAGGTCATTAAATGAAAACGTAAACGTGGACACAGGCCTAATCATAACGAAATGATTTTGTTGTATTCATTGAGTCGAGTATTTTGTACGGTTTTAATATATTGACACCTATTTCAGTCAGGGCTAGAGCATTTGCTTATTATTTTTATGAATACTGCCTTGAGGCTTTTTATCAAGTTAGAAGTCACTTGAATCCGAGTATTAAGGCAGGAATTATTCATTCGAAGTTTATGGAAAACCTTTTGCTTCAGAGCCTTTTAACACGGCTTTACCCGTTGTCTTATTATTTTGTTTTTCTTAGTCACATTTGTCAAAGTCAAGACAGTATTTCAGGAATACGATTTAGTCATTCTTGTTTATTCAAAATCACATTTTGGGATATATAAGTCAATGTATTTGCCATGAAATCATCTTCCATATCTGCCCGAGCAGAAAGTCATTTGATTAATCTCGGTTTAATACAACATCATATACATATATATATATATATCTTGATAGGTCTATCTTTATCGCTCTCTCGTTAACTTTTTAAAACTTCCAAATTCTTTTACAGTTCCCATAATTTTGATTGATTCTGTTCTGCTTTCGCACTGTTTTAAATTGTTCCTCTGGGGTAGCTCCAACAACCTTGAACTATTGCTTATTCTCATTTATATTTAATGACTTCGATTCCATCCTGTCTCCTTAAAATATCTTTTGGCTCCGACAAGCTTTAACTAGCTTTACATCTGATTTTGTTCCGATGCCTGAGGAGATAAGGATGATATCATTAGGTGCATGCAGGTGAGATGGATGATATTGATACCTTGTTGAGCTTCATAAGAAATAGAGCCAAATTTCCTCGAATATCTCTCCGGCATAATTCATATTTAGATTGAGGAAGAGGATTGCCCTGGAGTTTTTTGTTTGTGTGTGTTGTTTTTTCTTTCTCCAAGACAGCAACTGGTAAAATGTCGTCTTCCGACAAGCAATAACGTGAGATACACTCCCTACATTTGTAGGGGGGTGGGGAACTAGAAGAAGAAGGGGGAGTCAATTACGAGGTCGAAAATGACGTAAAAAGAACCTGATATCACCCTTCTCAAACCCTCCCTTAAAGGTAAAGACCAGTATTGGAAACACCCCAATTTCAAAAAATGAAATGGAAGCTCTCATTACCAATCATGTGAAAGAATATGTTTTGACTAATACATGATGATAACAAATTTGCCGGGAAACCGCCTACTAATTCATATATTTGGTAAATTTGTTTCTCTCATGGTCTGTGAGAGATATAGGGTAGTCCCGTATACATCTTTCTGTGTATAGTGCTTGTAACTTTACGAAGAATGGGCCAAATTTCTTATCATTTTGATGATTCCAGAACCTTGCAGATGCTAGATGCTAGATGATCAACCTTTTCTGATCGATTCCACAACGTTTCTTTCACAATGCAATCGCGTGACCATAACTGGTCTTTACCTTTAATAGTCCAGAATCTGCCCGGTGCTCTATAATTCCCCACACACTAGATTCAAGCCGTCAAAGATGGCGTTATCAACAAAATCATAATTATGCTCACCAGCCCAGTCTGGCGTCCTAATTTAATGATCACGCCATCATCGGCTGGTGGCAAGTAAGTAGGGAGAGGTAGCGATGGACTTTTAAATCGCAATTCATTTCGTAAGACCGGTCTCCCCCGCCCTCCCCCCCCCCCCCCCAACCCCTCCCATCCCCATCCTCCTATTGAGAGTGCCCCCCCCCCCCCCCTCAATGGCTGGGCCCATGCTTTGCCACTGTGAATGAATGTTGTACCCAATATTATCCATGCACTGTATATAATCATTCATGATATATTTACGTTACATACAATAATTTTGCTAATGAAAGCAAACAACCAGGTCCCAAATATTTTCCGAACGGTTATCTCAAAAGCCGTGTCCGTCACCCATTGTGAACATGACAATGACATTGATGGAAGATACATTAGGTTATTGAAATTTCCCTTGAGTTCATTTTTTCGAGGCTCTTAATTGTCATCGCGTTAAACGCGAATGTTCCCAATAACCTCCTTTCTTATTGCATTCCATTATGATTCCTAGTAACTGAATTAGATTGACAGGTATACCCATTTAATATCAAACAGTCCCTGAATTGGAGTATAGAACCTTCATTTCCTTTTAACTGTTACCAATATCCTCAGGTCGTGAGTATCCGTCATGACTAATGTCTTTCTATCTCCAGGCATCTTGACCATCGTCCTCCTAAAGCATCGAAGAAAGTTGGAGAAAATGTCAAACCATTTTCTAGGTCAATCCACTATTCCTTTTGCAATTCTACCCGATGCTTCCCATCACTTAATCGCTCCTACATCTATCCTCACTGCAAACTATATCTCAGGTTCCACGCCCTTCCGTGTACATGAGTAACCATTGATATTGATTCCTTGTGGGAACTGTTACAGCTACCATACAATACTTTTTTTGTGTGTATCTCATTGATCTGAATACATGTAATCTCGATGGGGCGCCTAAAGGAGGTTAACTCAGTGTTATCTGTCAACCTTTATACCACTCATAGGACTACCGCCTCTATCGCCCGGAGGTCAACGTATCTTTCACCCTAAGTTCACCCCACCCCCCCCCTCTCTCTCTCTCTCTCTCTCTTTCTCTATTTTTCTCGTTCTCTCTCTCTCTCTCTCTCTCTCTCTCTCTCTCTCTCTTTCTTTCTCTCTGTTTTTATTTCTCTTCCCCGCTCCCCTTATTTTCTCCGTGTCTCCACTTCGAATATAAATTATGATGTTCTTTTTCATCTTAGGCCACAGGTATCAATTTTTCTTTTTTCTTTTTCTTATTTTTCTTTTGCTTTATTGCCAGCTCATATGGGCACACCTGCCATGAAATTTCCTTTATCAGCAAAAAAAAGCCCCCATTTATTTATGAAGGAAATACAAAAATTCCTCCTATGTATCTGTGGGACGCGTGTTCCACGGTTTAAATTATAGCCAACAAAAATGAAGAAGTTGAGACGCCATGGTGAAGTGCAATGAAGTTTATTTCGTTTATAAATAAAAACGGAAAACCCCTGCATTGTACAGAAAAATAAAACAAAAGCATCATAAGTACAATAATCACATTATAAAAATCATGCAAGTCATCATATGGATTGTGATTAAATTTCTGTAGACAAAATGCAGTACGGTTCAGTTCAGTTCATAAACATTGAAATGCAATTAAGAAACCAAGAAATAAAATACATAGTATTCAATATTATCTGTAAATACATGTATAGATATCAAACAGTCATGACTCCAATCAATATTATTGAATACATAACATAAATATTCCTACGCAACTCACCCTAGACTAAATGTCACACGGGTAAGAAAAATCATACGTCATCGTCAATTGTAGCTTTGTAGCGTGGTTTGTAACCTCAGTAACCTCAACTTACGCCTCAGCGGCTAAAGTAGGAAAAAACATGAAACATCAATTATATAATATGGACTTTTACATTTAAATCAGTATTTGTTGTAAAAATCCCCATGATATATAAACCGAGTCTGATACTTACAGACTACTCATCAATCCCGTAAATAACAGAAGAATACATTTAAAATGCCTCGGTACGTTTCTACCGTACAGTGAATAAAACATCTCATTACATAATATACAATTAATGAACAGACTCTTATATTACGGCATCATAAACACTGGTAGCAAAGTAAAACTCAATAGCATCAAATATATTCAATTATCTCTACATACCTGTTTAAATGGTGCAACACAAACAGGCTACATTGACGGCAAAGCTTAAGCGTGTCGGAGTAAAATGGAGACAGACCAGCATCGCTTAAAGCAAGTGAACGAATGTCCGCTATATAAAATACCCATCAGGGCCTTGCCTGACATAGCGCGCATTCGTAAGGACTACTTTTCGAGCATGAATGCACATCCTTCTGAACTAAGTATAATAATTAAGTTTAGGATAGAACAATAAAACATACATGAGAAAATATCATAATTTCATTACGGTACATTTAAATTTACCTACAAACAATTTATAGATAAATAATCAAGGGACTACATTGTCCTTAACGCAAGTACACAGACCCACGTGACCATTAAAGTAATGAGGCTTCGGGTCTGACACGTATGTTTTAAATTAGACACACCCAAGATGCTATACGGTGTTCTTAAATAAAAAACCAAGTTTTAAAATGGTAAAAACGAGTTTGGTCACTACATATCTATTTATTCATCTATCTATATATCTCTCAGGACGTTAGGATGTTTAATTGTTAAGGCGATGGGAAAATAATTTGCATTAAAAATGGAGAAAAAACCTGAATACCCGATCGCTGCTAGCGGTTTATGGTTCATTTGGCCATTAGAAAATGATCGCACGTGTAAATTGACGATAATATTAGGGCTTTCAATGGATTATCGGCGGGTCACAGTGTACTTTCTGTATGATATCACAATCAGGCTACTTGCTCTGACGTAGAAACAAATTTATGAAAACCAGGAGTTGTGAAAGTCCATTTGGTAATCAACAGTTTAGCCCGCTTTCACATGATCAAATTTCAACTCGTCTAACAACATTGATAAAGAACATTCATGATCATGAATAGTGGTGAAATGCGCTAATGAAATGATGTTCAATCAATTCAATATTTACTAGTATTTTTCAAATATGCTAAATACTAGTAGTAAGACGGCACAATGACAGTTTATATGATAAAGATTATCAGCCTAAAAAGACGAATGGTGTCGCAACAAAGGTTCTGAATAAAACAGTTTGGAGATGTAATTGCCTATTGTAAGATGTTCTTTCTCGTGCATTTTTTTTATGTATCTCTCTCTATCTCTCTCTCTCTCTTTCTCCCTCTCTCTCTCTCTCTCTCTCTCTCTCTTCTCAACTTATATATTTCTCTCTGTATCTCTCTCAATTTCTCTCTCTGTAACTTTCTCTGTATCTCTCTCTGTATAATATATATCTATATATATATATATATATCCCTATCTCTCTCTCTCACACACACACACACACACACACACACACACACACACACACACACACACAATCTGTATTTTTCTTTCTCACACACACACTCTCTGTCTCCCTCTCTCTCTCTCTCTCTCTCTCTCACTCACTCTCTCACTTTGTTGATTTTCCTCCTTTTTTCGTCTTGTACACAACCATTCTTTCATCTATAACCTACCTGAGCCTATACTCACTATGAATATGACGGACAAAGAAAGAGGACAAAATATACAGTTTCTCATTCTACCCTCAACAATTGCTGTGGTAGACAAAGGAACATCCCTTCACTGCTATTATGTAAAAATGTGTAGAACAGGTGAATATGCATGTGACACCAGTTCTATACATTTTTACATAATAGCAGTGAAGGGACGTTCCTACGAAATCAATTGTTGAGGGTAGAATGAGGAACTGTATGTTTTGTCCTCTTTCTTTGACTGTCATGTTCATAGTGACTATTCCCATCTCTTAATACGAATCCGAAGATAATGAAATGATATCCATTCTGATCGACATGGGAATGAGCCCGCCTCAGTCCTGTCTTTGCCTATCACTCTACAACTAATTTCCTCACGGACAAGTATTAGAGTGCATGTTCTTTATATCCTTTATTGTAGCTCATTAACTATCCAGCTTCTGCTGCAACCCCCCCCCCCCCCATATAATTTATAGGGAATTCCAATTCTTGTACTTTGTGTCCAATGGTTGTCCAGGGGAGGAGAATAATAAGGAAGGGGTCGGGCTATGGGGGTTAGGGTTCTAGCATTCAGTTTCTACATGTGGCTCGCATAAACTCATTTATACTATAAAAAAAATGGGGTCTTGATTTTTTTTGTTGGGGGGGGGGGGGTGGAACCCCTGAGACCCACTCAATTAAAACACTTACATTACTGCAGTTATATCGGAATTGGGCCGGTGAGACGACGGAAAGAACAGTCTCTGTTTCGACGATTATTGCTCAACACCGAGTTTGCGTGTATGAGGTAGATCGACAAACCTATACATTTTCATGAAAGAATGATACCAAAGGATTGAACTTTTCTGCCGATATGCGTCGGTGGTTTTACTAGCCTATCCGATATGCGTCGGGCTTTACCAGAGCGCCTATCATCACTGGTGCATGCGAAAAGTTTTCTTTTCTTTTATATACACTGTTTCGTTCGTAGAAAATCTACGAACCCCTTGTAAATCTTTTTCATGACTATTTATGTAGCATGGACCAAAATAGGCCAATGAGCGATGAGGAACCTGGAGATGATATTTAATTGCTTGAATCAAAGTGATCGATCACCAAATAAGGCTGACGCCCGCGACGTGTCAGTCTCCATAAACGCGATCAGTATATTTGCCATAAGCCCGACGCATATCGGATAGGCTATAGTTTGACAAGAACAAGAAATCGACTGTGGCGTTGATACATTTTGGAGATCGCAGTGAAGTACAAAGTGAGTCGGTGAGTACGAAATTCAAGAATCTTCGTACGTGGTATATAAATAAGTTTATCGACCCCTTCTCGGTGTATGAGAGCATAAACAAAGAAAAATATTAACGAGTATTATATATACATTCTAAATGTGCACAAAGTAGATAAACATGGTACTAAATTATAAAACAATATTTTTTAAATACAAAAATTCTTTAACAGCAAAAATGTATTGAACACATTATTGTCCTCTTTGTTAAAGTAATGTGTACACTGATTTCATTTGACCATGAAAGAGGTATATTTCATTTTCCCAACATTAATTAATTATTCATAATGGGTCATCTGCGAGTGAATCGACGAACTGTCTTAAATTTTTTAGTCGGCTAAGCGTATGTGAATATTTGTTTATAAATAATTTAAAGTGCGTTTTAAAAAGGGGTAACTGAAAAGCACACAAAGAAATCGTAATTAACTGGGAGAGATAAGAATCAAAGCAAGAGACCAGAAATTTAAAGCTCCCTGACTGAATATGGAATCTAAAAAAGTTTTTAAAAAAGTATTAAAAACATATCAAGTCCTCTGCAGTTGATGATAAATTATGAGTGATATCGTTATAATCATAGATCTATATCAAAACTGCTTTATAAAACACAAGATAATCTTAAATACACGACAGGCTCAGTCTTGAAACTGAGAGACCATTTAGAAAAAAGATTTTCCTTTTATATTTTGTTCTTCTTTTCTTTTCTGCAGGAAAATGTGGATGGACACATGTTAAGCCATTACCTGACGTGATAAACTTTGAACATAGATGATTTTATCAGATTGAAATCTTTTAATCTCAATCTTCCAGCGTTCGACGGCCACTTAATTGGACCAAGATGTCAGCATCGTTTCGAAAAGTTCCATTGAAATATTCCTTCATCGCAATTTCGATCCTCGTTGTTGTACATATCCTGACCATCATAATTTATCGCCCTATTAGCACTTCCACTGATGAGCCAAAGCCTTGGGACATGAAACGAGTCGACAAAACTGCAAAACAAACAAGCTTGAGCCCTAGGAAGAACGATTCAACAAAAGAAACGCTTTCAGACCGTCCCATCGGCCCAGGGAAGGTTCCTCCCATATTACCAGACAATCGAAATATTAAGGATAAATCCAAATCCTACTCAAAATCTGACAACCATGTGGAAAAGGGACGTTCTTTTATATTAGGAGATTGCTATCGCTACAATTCTCACGGTAAACAACTATTACCAAGCGAAACTTTGAGAAAGAATAACTGCCAGAAACGACTTCCAAAGGCCGTGATTATTGGTGTTAAAAAATGTGGAACGTGGACTATTCGACAATATCTGGGACTTCACACCTCGATCACCATCAACGGTGAGACTCAATTTCCTACAAGCATTAATATCACGGCAAAGGATGTCTCAAAATGGAAGGATGAAATGTATTATTCAAGCCCGCGCACGCTTCCCATGACGGAGACTTCTCAATATGTTATAGCGCGCGTTGAATCCAAACGACGCTTGAAGGCTTTCCTGGATGACGACTTAAAAATCATCGTCATCATCCGTGACCCTGTCACTCGTGCCGTATCTGACCATGTCCACAAGCTCTTTGAGGTCTTCCATAGTAGCTTGCTACGCAACGAATCATTTCCCATAACTCACGAGGGTGATGTTCTGCGTGAGTCCATCAAGGATACTATCATCGACGTATCAACGGGACGGTTAAGAGATGGACAACAACTTGTGCGCTTTGGTCAATACATTACCTATCTAAGAGGTCTGCTGGAGGTCTACAGCCGTGATCAGTTATTTATTCTAGACGGTGAAGCTTTCATTGAAGATCCTCTCCCAAGTCTACTGCGTGTCGAGACATTTCTGGGGGTTCCCAAGTTCTACAAAAGAGACCACTTCCGGGTGAATCCTCAGACTGGTTTCTATTGCGCGCATGTTCCTGAGCGTCCATTCTATCACTGTGCTGACCCGAAACGTAAGGGTCGTCCGCATCCTACCCTTGATGATGATTTAGAAGGAAAACTTCGAGATTATTACCGTCCCTTTAATCTGCAGCTAGCAAAGGAATTCGATCTCGACTTTCCTTGGTTGTTCCACTGAAATCCACCAGAGGCATGTACGAAGCAACAAATATACTGATATATAAATTCAGCATAATTATCATAGAGTGACGTCAAGAAAACGAGAGTGACGTCATGAAAACGATGGCTTCAGGCGGCGGTTTTGAAGGCTAGGCGGGAAAATATCTAAATCCTCTCGATCCATGGTTTTGTATATACCGAAAATCTATGCAGTAGTATGAAAAAGAGCAAAAGTCATACTTCTTCAGAAAGAGATCCATATTTTCTCAGGAAAAAACAAGATTCTACGAAAAAATCAGCAACCATGGCGAGCAAGACACGTGAGGCGGCGAGCAAGGCATGCGAGGCGGCAGCCAAGGCAGACATGGCCGAGCTGACCAACACGATTGTGAGTCGATTTGATGGGCTGGCCGCCAATGTGGCAACCATTAAAAAAGACATTACCGAACTGCGCAACGGACTAAAATACCTAAAAGCGACAACTATCGACTCATCCGCAAGAATAAATGATTTAGAACAGAGCATACCTGCATTAAAGAACGAACGCTTAAAGGCAGAGAAGGAGCTGAGAGAAGCCATCTTGGCGATGGACATTCACAACAGAAAGCATAATCTACTGATATACGGAATAGCAAAGGAAGCAGGAGAGAATGTGCAAAGAAAGGTACGAGATGTGATTGGAAATTTGGGGTTATCGGGAGAAGTTGTCACAAATATGCCGTTGATAAACGCCCATCGACTGCCTCGTAGATACCCTGGCCCACCGGGAGAGGAGCGAGGAACCGACCCCTTGATTGTACGATTCGGTACCATGTTTGACCGTGATCTGGTACTACGGCAGTATCAATAGAAACAACGCGACTTAATGGTGGCTGCGAGGGAAAATCGTGTTGCCCAGAACCGACTTCCATTCAGGCTCCTTGTCGACCTACCCCCACTTTTGAAGCGACGCCGTTTCGAGCTAGAAAAATGTGCCTACAGATTAAGGAAAGAAGGAAATCAGTCAACGAGAATCCGCGTAGTTGGAATCGAAGTAGTGCGAGAGAAGCGAGAGAAAGGTTCGACAACGGCTTGGAAAAGAGAAGTTGAGTAGAGTCTAGATTGAAGTTGAAAAATGTCATCATCATCATCATGGTCACCAGTTCATTTTCCTGTATATTTTGTTGATATTGAATTTAGTATTGATACCGTCAATACTACTAAAGCGATTTATCTTTATCGATTGAAAACTTTAAAAGTGTGACTACTACTACTAGTATTACAGACAAACAAAGGAAAAGAAAGAAATCAACCAAGATTCCTGTCATCTGAATCGACTGTCATAATGAAACAGACCAAGGAAAACAAGTCTACATCTACATCGGCTTGAAGTTGAAGGACTAAAAGACTAAGATATCAACTGATGGTGAGGAATTTTGTAATTATCTTTGATGCATTTTCTTTCTTTTTTTATATAGGAATCAAATATTCAGTTTGTATCACTCCAAAGTGACAAATAAAATGTGTATGTCGATACGTAAGATTTGTATAGGCCTATTCGTTTTTCCTATTCCAAAAATATTATTTACAATATAAACTCCAATATTTCTGGGAAGAAAAAATGGAATAGTGATACTGACGAAGTGAAGAATGTTGAGAATAAGATTCAAGCAGTTCTTTTGGCAATGAAGAAAAGCCATGCATATGATGTACATCATGATATTTTGTATTATGTCCAATAGTAAATTACCCACTATTTTGTTGTTGTTGGGAATGTTGGTATGTAACAAATGAAAGGAGAGAATGTGGTTATAACACTGTAAAACAGTTCGAAAATCAGGCAGATTATTCCTTGCATTTAGATTTTGTCTGTCTAAGATATTTAGTGTGAAATGAACATAAGCATTCTTTTGATTTGAACTTAATTTCTTTATATCCATAGAAAATGTCATTTTCAGAGGATGCTCTGATTTTGATACGTTTTCATTTTGTAACTTATTGTAGTATTCCTAAAAGAGGGAGGAGTATAAATCAAAATTATCAGAAGGAAATTGCCTTGATATTTCCACCCTTTGATTTGGTGTTTATTGTTGAATTTCTTTCTTCTTCCTTTTTACAATTTTTTTTTACTCGGAAATAATTATGTCGGGAAAAAGCCATGCATAATTATGATGTAGACCATGATATTAAATTTTTGTATTATGCCCTTTTCTTGTCCAATAGTGAATTACCCAGAATTTTTATTTGGGTATATTACATAATGAAAGGAGAAAATGTGGATATAACACTGTTTAAAACAGTTCGACAACCAGGCAGATTATTTTTTGTATGAATTTTGCCTGTGTGAAACGCATAATTTTTCACCGTTCAAATGCAACTATATTCATAGAATCAAGCTGTACAATTTCTTTGGTATTCATGCATGTAATAGGTTTTAGCTTGTTCGGGGACCTTTCAGCAATACCTGAATATATGTCATGGAGAATGGACAGGGGATCTTAGTTTTTAATGATTTGAACATACTTTCCTCATATCCGATAAAATGAGTATTTAACACAATTTTGGTATAGGAAGAGAAAATGTTATGTTCAGAGGATGTTCTGATTTTGATACGTTTTTATTTTTCACTTATTGTAGTACCCCTACAGTAAAAGAGGGAGGAGTATGAATTAAATTTGTCAGAAGTAAATCCTTCTTTATATATCTACTTTTTAATTTGTTTGTTGTTGAATTTTTGTTTTACTCGAAAATATGTCGGTAGAAAAACCATGCATAAGATGTACATGATGATGTTTGGTATTATGCCCTCTGCTCGTAAATTACCCACTATTTTTGTTAGATTTATAACATAATCAAGGCAGAGAATGTGAATATAACACTGTAACGTAGTTTGAAAACCAGAAAGATTATTCCTTAGGTAGAATAAATGTCATGTTCAGAGGATGTTTTGATTTCGATGCGTTTTTAACTTTTTCACTTATTGTAGTACTCCTAAAAAGGGAAGGATTATGAATCAAAGTTGTCAGAAGTAAATTTTCATTATATTTCCAGTCTTTGATTAATTTGTTGTTTATTTTTGAATTTTCTTATGTTTAAAAAAAAAAAGACTGAGGTATTCATTTTTGGGAAAGAAACTTCTGAGGATTCTAAAAGTTATATTTTTGACTTGCAAGACAGCAACATTACACTCATTTAGTTCATTGGCAGTGGAGAGTAATACTTTTAGTTCTGGATGCAGGATTTGGCAACGCTAAAGAATGTATTCAGATATACACTGTATATCTCATAAGAAACCATGCGCATACCTTCAACAGGTGTCTTCCTTTGTAAATTTCAATAAGCCTTTGTAGTACAGCGGATAAGCTCCCAATATAATGAAAATTGTGCACTTTTTGAGAAAAGCATGAAATTTCTAGCATAGTTAGTTTAGACCATAAGATTTATTTTCAGATGTGGAGGGAAGTCGGATTTGACCTCTGATGACCCTGAGAGGTCAAATCCAAAATGGCCGCTATTCCTCATGGTCTAATATACAAACACATTTAACTTTTGAACCAAATAGTCCGGAAAAACGTTTAAGGTGTCATTTCCAACTAACTTGGGGATGCCAATTCATTTGGTAATACTTTTGAGATCGCTTGAACTTAGGGTTTTGCATTTAGGTCAAGGTCATGGTCTAAATTGACTAAAAAATAGCAAGTTTTGAATGGTTACAAAAAGTTTTCCCATTTATTTGTCATTTGTTCTCTCCTATGTTCTCAAATTTCTTTAGGAATTTACGCACCTTAATCCCTTTCAGTGAGTTTATTTCACATTTTGATTTGACCTCTGATGACCCTGAGAGGTCAAATAGGAAATGGCGCCAGCCCGCAGCATTATCTAATAATTGTACAAACACGCTTAAAGGTATTACAAAGTTTTGGGAAATTTTGAAAAATGGGTGGATAGTGATTCTTTACAATTTCAATATATTTGGATGCCCCTGTGGATGTATTAAAAACACCAGAAATTTTAGCCCCTAAAACACTTCTGCTTTCGAGAAAAATTGAATATAAAGATTTACCGGTGCTCCCGATAAATTTTGATAAATTTCAAATAGCCCCTACGGCCGTAAAGTGGTAGCTGCGACCATGAAAATCTAAGAGTATGTAGTTGTGGTATATAATTTCCGAACGAGAATAGCTAATCAGTCAATTTTAGTCAATAAACATTGTTTTATAGCTTAATTAATATCTTGACCTTGAGAGGGAGCTTTTCAACATAAAGTGTTTATTATTTACAATTTCATAACTTTAGAGTCGATTTTGACCGCGACAACGGTCAATTAATATTGTAGGATCGTGTATGCTTCTAATATGTTAATTTGAACCAAATTCGTGACCCCATACCAAAACTTTGTATTACCTTTAACTCTTGAACCAAATAGTCCAGCAAAACGTTTAAGCTGTCATTTCCCACTAACTTTGGGATGCCAATTCAATTGGTAATACTTTTTAGTACGCCAGAACTCAGGGCTTTTGCATTAAGTCAAGGTCAAGGTCAAAATTGACTAAAAAATAGCAAGTTTTGAATGTTTACAAAAAGTTTTCCAATTTGTTTGTCCCCTTATGTTCTCAAATTTCTTTAAGAGTGGTTAAGATTTGGTAACATGGGCAGATCTACGGGGGGGGGGTTAGGGGGTTTAACCCCCTCCTCCCACCCCCCCACCCCACCGAACCCCTTGGGCTGCCAAGTGAAAATGTGATATTAAATTAAAGCGGGGGGAGGGGGATGCTGGAGAGGAGGACTACTAATCTATTTTATTTTTTTTAGGGGGCGAAGCGCCGTTTTAGCATGACTTTCTTTTTAACTCTTACTTTCACCTATCTCAGATAACCCTAAGTTTTTGGTTGCTGCTTTATATGTAGTTGATAATGCATGATTAAAATAGAGAGAGAGAGAGAGAGAACCACCATCATTTTGCAATGGTTCAGGGTTCGTGTAATGTACATTTGAAACCATTTCTTAGCGTCTGAACCCTAAAAAAATAGCAAAACTATTTTTGAGGGAAAGCATTATACTGAATTAAATAAAGAATAATAGCTTTATATTGGATCATACTAATACTGATACGGGGTAAAGACAATGTGGTATTTGTATAGAGGTATTCCAAAATGACATTCTGATAATCAACATTTGTTCTGGTATCATATGTATATACGCATAATACAACTGATCTTTATGATTTCTTAACGTGACATAGCTTCTTCTCCCTCTGCAAACAAAACAGAAAACAAGGTTATTTAATAAAAGGACCATGCGACAAATAATCATCGTAATACGAATTGATGCAAGGATTTATTTTTTTTGAATAAGCAATGCTTTTCACCAGAATCTTCTTTGTAAAAACGACTTTTACAAATCTCAGCCATGCAATTCTGCCACTGTGCTGTAAGATCACTTTGAGATAAGGAGAAGTGTATTATGTAATGCAGTGGCGGATCCAGGGGTGGGCCGAAACGGCCGCGCCCCCCCCCCCCCCCCTATTGGCGAAGCAAAAAAATTGAGAAGGAAAAAAGAGGAAGAAAAAAAGAAGGAAAAAAAGGGGGGGAAAGGAGAAGATAAAAGAAAAGAGAACAAAAAAGTAAAGAAAAGAGAGAGAGTTCAAAAAAGAGGAAAGAAAAAGAAGAGAGGAGCCGGGGAGAAAGAAAGACAACGAAATGGCACTAAAAATTAGTGACAGTAACGACGAATAAGGGAAAGACAAGGGGAAGGGGGGTGCGTGAAGGCGGATGCATTGTGAAGGGGGGGGGAGGGGTGACTGGCCGTATTCTTATTTTTAGGTTATGCGAAACTGAGTCGAAATTATGCTTCTTTTCAAAACAATCTTAGCATGCTTGTTTATGTTAAGCCGGAGTGCATGAAAAGGTTAGTGTAGAAACACTTCTGAAAAGGCCGCGCCCGGCCCCTCCAAAGAACGGCAGAATGGTAATCTATAAATTATGGGGTCATTCTTAATGGCTTGGGAGTCGTTATTAAGGAGGGGGCCGGCCCTACTCAAATGGTAATGACGGTAACGATGGATAAGGGAATAAGGAGGAAGGGGTGCACATGCATGCGCGTACGCAGAGGGGGGGGGGGGGGGGGGGGGGGGGGAGGGGGGGGGGGGGGTCGAACCCCCCTCAAATTTTTGTCAAGTTGTCAAGTTGGTCCTGATGTGTATAATGCGTAGACCAGGGGTTCTCAAACTTTTTCTTTGACGGTCCAGAAGCGATTTCTATGAAAGCTGTAAGGTCCGAAATGACACTTGTATACTGAAGATAATGAGGCTTGTTTTTGGTCTATATCTGATCCAAGGAGAATTGTTACAGTTTAAAAAAACAGAACGGCCAGTGCTTCCACTCGTTTAAATAGAGTTTCCTGAAAAAGAACACCCAATATCCTGGAATTTGAAAGAATTTTCTTAAAACTTTCAAAATGCCTCTTACGTGGATTTCTTATTTGGATGAATCGCTATGACGTTTTAATATTGAGTGGGCTTATTTTGCTTTCTAATGGATCCATACAACATGGCAGAGCTTGAGGGGTCTGGCAGAGCCTTTTCAAGAGAGAAATTGTCTTTAGGAGAAAAAAAGAGGTTATTTCTAAAATGAAATGAAAGGGTTATTGACTTTCAAGAGAGAAAATTGTCTATAAGAGAGGAAGAGAGGTTATTTCTAAAATGAAATGAAAGGGCTCATGTCAAATAGCCCTTTCATTTCATTTTTTCTCTCGAAATAAACTCTCTTTCTCTCTTATAGACAATTTTATGAGATGGAATCTTCAATCTGAAGCCTTTTTGTGCTCTTTGAAAATGGCACACTGAATGGGGGCAGTGCAATTTAAATTTCAAGGGATGGATTAGAGTTTTAATCGCTCTTGAAAGTCAAATAGCCCTATCATTTCATTTTAGAAATAAACTCTAATACATTCCTTGATATTTAAATTGCGCCGCCCCTATTGTGTCCTCTTTTTAAAGAGCACAACAGAGCCCTCAGATTAGGCAGCAAGTAGAAAAACAAACCCGTAACACTGGACACAACATTCAATGGGATGATGCCCATATCATTGAGTTTGAAACGCACTTCTGGTCAAGAATGGTAGAAGAAGCATCTGCATAAAAAGGATGAATCCTTCACTGAATAGGGATTCTTGCTATACACTTTTACCTTTGTGTAAATAATAAAAGGTCCACTGGCGTGGTTGTTAGAAGCTTAAACTACATAAAACTCTCTCCAATTTTGCAGGGGGAGAGCCTTTGTCGGGAGTCTTTAATAATAAAAGGGATAAATCCTTCACTGAATAGGGATTCTTGCTATATGTTACCTTTCTTCGCTCCAGTGATCTCGAGGCAGCAGACAGCAAGAAATTGTGTAAATAATTTGCTGTTGCCGGGAGTCTTGCATGGGGCGGAGCCCCAGGAAGTTCTTGAACTTTAAAAAAAATTAGGAAATTCCAAATAGTCGTCATGAGCGATAGAAATTGTGATTTCCTCCTTGAGAGTTACATAACCCCTTTCATTTCATTTTAGAATTTAACCTCTCTTTCTCTCTTAAAGACAATTTCTTATCACGTCTGTTTTCGTATTGTACTTTCGTCCGCAGACTACTAAAGCACATGTCGAGCCAACTCAGTCGGAAATGTAGGCCTAAGTGTAAAGTTAAGTTTCATGTTCTTCCTTTTTCTTTCTTTCTTTCTTTCTCTCCCTCTCTCTGTCTCTCTCCTTTTCCTCTATCTTCTTTTTTTTTAATTATTCTTTCTTTTCTTCTCATTTTTCTGTGTGTGACATGCGTTACGCGTACGTCTATCAATGTCTTAATATGGTAGATTTACATTTTGATGTTTCCCTTTGTAGGTGCACCTTATATTCCAGAAAGTGCCCTATTTTGATGGTGCCCCCCCCCCCATGTATTGATCTCGATAAAAAATAACTTTCTCATTAATTTTATTTCCAATATATCTAATACTTGCACTAATCTCCAATTTAAAAAAAAAATCGTCTACTTTCTCTCAAGACAACATTTAAAAAGGA